AACGGCTTTATTGTAAATCGTTGCCTTTTTACTTTCTAAAAGACAGATGACTAACAGAAAATAAAATGAGAAATCTGCCTTATTACTTCAACTGTTCATTCGTCTAGTTTAAAAAGATGAATAAAAAAGCAAGGCTTGCACAAAAAGCTTTCTCTGGTCCTTTAGATTGCTGGCTAAATGTAAAGAAGATACCCCGTTGCTTTTCTCGCTGCTGGTGACACCGAATGTCGGATTTAAGCACTTTTGAGACATAACAGCCTACCCTATTAAAATAACGTTTAGTTCAGCTAGGTTCGATAGTTTTGTTTGTGAAACGGATGAACGAAATGCGACTGTGGTGGAGAAAGAGGTCAATATGCATGAAATCCAGTCTGTCAACCACCAAAGAATACTGGATGTACCGGTAAATAGTTTGCTTTCGTACTTGGTTCGTGCTGTCGCTATCAGCAGCTACAAGGACTTCCAAGTCTGCACAGCCTTACGCAATACATCTGGGTATTTACTTTTGTCAGCTTCCGATAAAAAAGCACAACCTTAGTACGACTCTCGAAACAGTTACAAGTATACGCAGTTACCCGGCTATGTAAAGTTGACAACCCGTAATGCGAATTTCCGAACGAAAAGTATCAGGTTTGTTTGTCCAAGGTTAGCCCAAGATAGCCCAATTATTTTTTTCGTTAGCCTAAATATTGAAATTCAAAAATTTGAATTTTCTAGTATGCCAAAAATTTGTTTTTGTTCAAACTTTTCTACTAAGGTCGCCTAAGGAAAAAACGTTGGGCTATCCTGGGCTAATCTGAGGCAAACAAACCTAATACTTTTCGTTTGAAAATTTTCATTATGGGGGGCCAACTTTACACAGCCATGTAAACCGCTGATCCATGCAGACTACAACACGGATTTAAATAACGTTTGGAGGCAAACCTTCGCCTATATTGCCCTTCAAAAGTGAAAAAATTTGATTACAAAACGCCTTTATGTAAAAAAAAAAATAAAAAAATTAAATCGTAAAAGCCAAAACTAGATTTTATACCTAATCTTAAAAGATCCTGAAATTTTCGAGAGTGCGTTTTTTTTTGTTTTTTATAGATATCAATTTTAATTTTTTTTGCAAACTCTAAACATTTGAATATGATTATTTTTTTTTTTTTTTGATTTAGAGTTTGCCAAAAAATTTTCATGGGTCAAAAATTCATATCTTAGAAAACTAAAGACTTTAAACCTTTCAGAATTCGAGGTATTGTATAAAAAAATTTACCCAAAAAATTCAAGGGAGGTGTTTTGTTCCCTTTAACAAATGAATTTTCGATCTTTGAAACAAACAATTTATTTTTTATTTAGGTATTTTTTTTAATTATTAGTTTGCATTAATTTTTTTTTTCAAAAATTTTTTAAAGTTCAAAAATTTTTCTTACATGAAATACCTTCTTGAAAATTTCAGGATCTTCAAAGATCATTTAGAGGTATTGTATAAAGAAAATTGAAGAAAAAATTTGTATAAGTTTTTTCGTTTACGAATTTTAAAAATTTCAAAATTCTGTATTTCTTACTTTTCGAATAAATATAACCTTGAAAATAAGAGCAGAACTACTTCTGTTGCTATAATACTCTTTGAGATACGCAAAATCAGGGAAATTGTGAACTTTCGAAATATTTTTTTTTTTTGGCCGAGCTTGGTTTTATGATAAGGAAAAGTTCTCCCCAAAATTAATCCAAACGAGCGTTTGACATGAATTTCCTTTCATACATATGTATATCTATATTTTCCGTCCAATATCGAATTGAATTAATTATTTTTTTTTAACTAGAATTACTGCTTTGAATTTTTTTAGAATGTAGCGAAGTAGCTAATTCTAAACATAAACCAATTTTCTTCTAACTTCGTTTGCATAAGTTGCGACTTTTTGTTGCTGTTGGCACTGTGAGCGTCATTCCACATCGCAGGACTTCAGCCGCCAACTTCCAACTAGTTATCGCCTGACACTTTCACAAAGAAATTCCACTTGCAGAGTGTGAAAATGTTTCCACCGAATTCGGTGTTGTGACTTCAGCAGTTATTGCTGGTGGCGTTAAAATGCCTAGCTACATACAGTATTTTTGCTTGTTGTTGTTGTCATTTCTTTACCTGCCAGAGCAATACCTTTGACGAGCAGCACACCTTGTGTGTGGCGCACAAAACAACTAAGGAACCAACTTGCACCGCCACATTCACTGGTAAGTCATTGACAGCAGCTACAACCGTGGCCACCACAATAGCATGAGCGTCAACTGCACTTCATTCTGTCTGATTCAGAATATTGTGGCACGAAACCGCATGTAAACGCGTGCTTGTGGCGCCACAGTATGCAGCAGCAGCAGCAACAGCAGCAACAGCAGGCGGGCATCAAATGGCAAACGGCAGCTTGTAAAGGCAGCTGAAAGGCATAATGCTGGATATTTAGCATCGTCAAAGCAGGCAATTCATATACACATACAAAACTGCGCGGTCGTTATGCGTGCTTGTGATCGAGTATGTGTGTGTGTGTGTAGTTCCGCTTGGTGCGCGTGTCCTGTTACCGACCGGGTCCTTAACTGCCACTTCATTGTCCTTGGCGTCATTATGGTTTTATTTGCTTTGGAAATTTGAGTTGCCTTCAATCGGTTGGTGGCAAGCAGCTGAGTAGGCGGTGGCAACATCACCGCAGGTGAATCAACTCATGAAACAACAACACGAGCTTAAAGTTAACTTTACGCTTTATTTTCTTTTCTTGGTTGCACTTCGGTTCAACACCACCATAAGCAGCTTTTCATTTGCTAAATACTCAGTAGTCGTTGCCATCCTAACCATCATTCGTACATACATACATACATACATATGTACATATATGTATGTGTGTACGCGTCGCGCCTTAGGATGAAACTGATTCTGAGTGTGCAGCACACTGATTGCTAATGTCATTGCACTGCCACTGCAGTTGCACCACTCACATAACAGGCGATTTGACAACAAAGTAAAATAAAATTTTTTTTCTATCACACGAAACGACACTGGCAATTATTGCATGTGGTGAATGTTAAGAGGTATAATTGCGGTTGGGTCAGGCTCATAATGGCGACATCAAAGTTTTATCTATAAGCACAACACGTGAAAGAGTTGTCGTCAAGTAAAAAGAAGTGATCTTGCGGCGTTCACTTTAATTTTCCATTTCAAGTAAATTTAAAGATATTAAATATTCAAAATGAACTGCGTAATATGTAAACAGAAAATTTAAAACACCAGTGGGAGTATTCACTGGAAAAGTGAAACATATGGATATTTCCAAACTGGCGTAACGTGACGCTCGTATGACAAAATTAAAAAAAAAAAGAAATTGAAAACGTCAAAATTTTAAAAACGCTTTTCTAGATTTGCATGGCAATTAAATTGCCCATAATTCAGTGAAAAATTACAACTGTAGCTAGCAGCGATTGAAAGATATGTATTAGTAGACATACACGTTGGCGTTACGATACAAAAAACCAAAGTCGATTTTGACTTCGAATACAAAATTGCAAAAGTTTGCGAATTGGGCAAGACTATTTGTGTACAATTTTTTGTAGTAATATTAGAAATGTTTATTATCCGGAAAGGACTTTTATTTCGGACTTAAAAAATATTGGCCAAGTTTAACTATTAAAAAAAAAACGGTTATTTTTGGTCCCTGAATAAATCTTTTCTGCCTTTTGTTTAATCAGGTGAAGTTTTTGGCGTGATGTTACCTGGCGTTACGTTACTAAAATTTTCATTGAAAAAGTTTTTTTTTTTTAATATTGTTCTTGAAAAAATTTGTAACGGCAAGAAAAAATGCTATTTGTGTCGAACGTACTTTTTAGTTTGACATCAGTGCCACCAACGGTTCCAGTTTTTGCGAATCTATGTCTTTCTACGTTTTACGAAACATGCCCAATGTGAAAAAAGTTCGAGCACAAATGCGCGTTTTCAAAATATCTCGACCGTGGCAACACCTAACGAAATAATTTTTCTGCTTAGATAACCAGTATACATATATTATAAAAAGCGGCAAAATCGGCCCATAAACAAGTTAGATGGAGAACTTTTATTTTTATTTTTTCGCGGTAGACTTTTCGCTGGAATCGCCCATAAGCTTTTCTCTTTCACAATAATACAAATCCATTTTTATATTTACGTATGTACATTAGACTGCATCACCAAAAAAAGCTGCGCTTTTTCCTGCGGGATTACAAAATCTAGTATATTTTAAAACCTCTGCCAAAATATTTCGGAAACAAATTTTAAAGATTTAGGTGAGCTGGACTGGTTTGAAAATACCACTAAAAATGGAGTTTTTTATGAATAAAAATAGTTTCTTAAAGAATTATTCGGAAAAAAATCTTTTGTTACAAAAAAAAAAACTCATTCACGTCCCAATTTTTTCTTCATCATATACCAACACATCTTAATTCAGCATGGAATGACGCTTTGTTACCTTCCTCTTTCATACTTTGAATGAGCTTATTCGCAAAGAAAATAAAACGTTGCTACCTCATGAATGATACCTCACGAATCTAATTTGGTAAGGTTTTGGCTGTGTTATTCAAGTTTTTCTTAACCCAGTCTTTGAAAAAAGTTCTAAAATAGCATCAAAAATCTCATTATTTATTACGATTCCGTTTAAAATTTATTATTATTATTTTTTTTAATATTATTATACAACTTTTTTAAGCTTAAACTGTTTGGGCCTTCGAAGGATTTTTTTTTAAAAAAAAAAAAATATTACAAAAACTGTTTTTATTAATAAAAAACTCCATTTTTGGAAGTATTTCCGGCTCACTTAAATCTTAATATTTTTCCGAAATATTTTGGCGGACGTCTTGAAATATAGTAGATTTTATAATTCCAGTGGAAAAACAGTACCGTTTTTTTTATGGGGAGTGATGAGGTCTAATATACATACATACATGTGTATTTCGCTTTATAATTTTTGGAATCTTTAAATTTTGTTAGTTGCTATAATTAAATTCTAAGCCGTCCCAGGTTGTCTTGCGTACGCAGTGCGAACAATAGCGAATCCCTGATAGGACATTTGAAGAAGCTGTAAGTTTACATGTAATTTTGGAATTAAATACATAAACATACATATTTATGTATCACAAGGCGAATTAAAACAAGGTGGTAGCAAAAATTAAAAAATAAAAACATCATCCCTATGTATTTGTTTTTGCATTTGGCGCATGTGCTGTCAAATCAGAAAAAGCAAAACCAAAATACATATTAAGCGAGAAAGCAGCTGGTCTAACAATACCACCTTGTTTGTATTCGGCTTATAGATATCACATAAATCCCACTTTGGTACGCACATTAGTTATTGTAGGCATTGAGACTGTGACGAAAAGAGTAGCCTTAAATTCTGCCGGCTTTTGAGCGCGTTGCATCATTAACAGTGCCAGTCTTTTGTAACGCATATCAGCATCGTACCAATTGTGATTGTAAATAGCATTGCTAATATACTCACTCTAGACAAACAAACCAAAGGCCAAGAGAAAGAGAGCAAAATTTACAATAATATACAAACAATTGTAAAACCATAACTTTACCGACTCTAGCAGTCCCTGTGCATAGTAACAGATAAAGAAGAGGTCCACCAGCGAACTTAGAAGAAATAAAGTGCCCAACACCACCATATCGATGGTGACTTTAGCGGTGATTTGGAATAGCTCAATGCAGGTGTTCACCGATGTCATTGCGAAAGTGAGAAGCATACAAATTCCGAAGGCTTTATTCATTGCCTTTGAGAGCCTAAAATTAGTTTAAATTAATTAGTACACCTAGCGAACCTAAATATGTATGTAAATGCCTTAAAGCTTATACAAACGTCAAAATTTTCTGATGATAGGCTATAATGCCGTGCAGAAACCGCAAATCGATCTCACTGCGCTCAAGGTCGCTCAGTCGCTGCTTTTTCATTTCATTTCCGCCGCTCTCAGCTACCACGTAACTCTCAATCCGTTTGGCCAGCTGGCGGTAGTGCATGATAAGTTGCACAGCCACTGCACTGAAGAGCAAATCATTGGCCAACTGTGTCGAAATACAAGCGTGCGCAACGGTGAGTTGTGACAAATACATCGGATAGTAAAGCCAATTATCGCACCAAACAAATGGTGTCCAGCAGTTAAAGCTAAGCATTTTACCTACTTTCCGCAACTCCAGCCAATATTCAAAAATAAGATAGCTGATTAGCGGCCAGAGAGTATAGCTCCAGACTAACAATACATTTAGAATAATATAAGCATTGCCTAAACGATTCCAATTTTTCAGTTCGGCTTTTACTTGGTAGAGCATCTGGCCTCCCAATGTTTGTGGATAGAGCGCGTAGAGCTCTTGCATGAGCGAGCTAATCCGTGAACGTTGCCACCATATGCTGAAGATTTTCAATTCGCTGATAATGAGCGCGTTTCCTATTGAACCCAGCGTAGTTGCCTCAACAAAGTTGTTGTTATTTACGATATCCAAAAATATTTGAATCAAGACGCTCAGCAATGTTAAATTCAGATTGACGATTGTAACGGTGAAAATAATGCGTTGCAAGTGGCGTCGTACCAGTGCAAGTTTTCCTCTTCGTGGCTCATTGCTGACTTTATCGTAGGCATTCACCCCAATGCAGTTGAAGAAAATATTGGCTTTATAGAAGAAACTTTCGAAATGTATCGGCTTGTTGGACATTTCGATTGGTTATGAGTGTGGGTCAGGTGATTTGGTGGGTATTTTATACTAAACATCTAGGTATGAGTAGGCGCCCATGTGCCCATGCGTATTCAGTAATTTCAACAATTATGTTCATGCAGCATAATTACCATAATAGACGGCTGATTGCTTTAATTCTTTACACATACAAAAAAAAGTTCCAAGAAATGCTTATTGTCGATATTTGCTTTACTAGCGTAGTTGATTGACTTCCCAAAAGTAGCGCATGCATTAAGAAGGGTAACATATGTATAAAAACTCGGTGGTAATCAAAGCTGCGGATACACAGTGTGTTTGAAATTAGAGCGGGAGTAGATTTGTGTAAATTTGCCTTATACTATAAAGGGGGTTGCCATACCAAAAATAGGACCTGTCAGAACTTGCACAATTTTTGGCAAGACATTGAACAAAAGCTTCCAAGAGAGCTTTTAGCCTACTTTGCATATTGATAGGCGTTTCGACCTGAATGAGTATGGTCATGCAGGTTTTTTCTTGCTACCATAGAAATTTGCGAAAAGAAATTATAATAAAAAAACTTTCCATGCGTTGCGGGGGATTCTCTGTGCCAATATGTAAAAAAAAAATCCTAAGCATTGCCGCAGAAATTTTAGATTAAATGGTGGTTTGTAAGATTTGAAACGTATTGTTAGTTTCGGAAGACAGACTTAATAAATTAATACATATTATATATAAGAATGAAAAAAATTTAAATTACCTTTCATAAAAAGTCAAATATTCCGGAAAACTAGAAATGTTTCTATATTTGGGGCAAACTACACAACATTAGCCACATTGTATTTATGAAACGCAAAACGCGATATGTTGCCTTAACTTTTTTTCTCAGTGTAATTTTAAAACTTAAATATAATTTACAAATTGCTAATAAAAAACACTTTATAGCTAATGGTGTTAAACGATGCAGTAATTACATAATTAGCGCGCACGGCAGGTTAGAATAAAACATTTTTTTTTAATTATGTAATTGGATTTTGTTCATTTTATAAATTTGATTACATTTTTCAAATCGTTACAAAAAATACATGCCAGCTGTAATTACTACTAGGCGTATCCGCGACTCCAGTTTGTGATGTCATTTACTGTTGCATATACCCTCCCAGTCATTAGATTAGCACACGGAAAAGTTTATATACTAGTTTATACTAACATAAAACGAAACATCATTATGCCACGTAGCCATGTCTCAAATACACACACAACATCCACACCAGAAGACTCAAAGATAAACCTGAATTCAACAAGCTTAGATGGTAGGCTTTGTTTGGGCTGCTCAAGTTGCGCATATTCGCTCTCAATTTTCGCGAGCCTTACCGCGAAATCCCTTATACTCCGCTTAATGTTCGACAGATCAGCTGTAATATCGCTAATTCTACTTAGTACCTGTTCTTCAGATGCCTTCAGTCGTGCAGTTATCTGCTCCTCAACGTTCTGAATTTTCTCTTCAAGCCGTGTAATCCATAAAGGCGTAAAGCAAGTCTCGTCTTTACCTACTTCAAGTTAAGCCTTAGGTGGCTTTGGTGGTGAGGTGATGATCAGGCGCGCAGATTTAATGCGAGTTCCCGTGCTTGCACAAAGCTATCCAGCAATGAAAGTAAAGATTAACAAGAAAATGCACCGTACCCACGACAACAACAGCAACCAAACAGCAGAGAACGAGAACAGCGACTATGGAGACAGCTAAAGCAGCGAAGATAATGACGGCGGCGCCAGCGACGACAGCGAAAGCGAGAACAGCTGCAGAAAAAGAGTCTGCAAAGATGCAGATACGGCGACAGCATTTTAGCAGATTTATACCAGCAAATAAATCCTTACTAATATTATAAATCCGAGAGTGAGTTTGTTTATTTGTTACGCTTTCACGCTTTAATTACTCAACCGAGATTTAATGTCGATTATACGAGGGGGCGTGGCACCTCACATAAAACGGAATTTTCATACCGCATATCATATCTCAGAAAATATTTTTGATAGAGTACAGGAACTTGGTATAGATACATATAATATGTATATAAAATCAGTTGCATACTCATGGAGGAGGGCTGCCACCTGTTTTTAAAAATCAAATACGACTTGAAATAAAGGGAATGATTTATCTGAAAATTATTAAAAAAAAATGGATGACAAGAGGCTTAAAAAAGTTGTAGTTTGAAAGTATTTGGGAAAGGGTTGCCACCTGTTCGAAAAGCCAAATTTAAATTAATCATTAGCAAGCTATCTGAAAAATTAATGTATGGGTGTCAATTGAAAGATTGCTAAGAATCCTTTAGATTGAGCACTTAAAATATTACTGACTTGTTTTACAAACGTTGCCACCCGTTAAAAAAAATAAATTAATTTAATTTAAATGAATTACTATAACACGGCTATCAACTGAAAGGTTTTTGACAAAGATTATAGTTCTAAACTACATGTAGGAGGGTTGCCATCTGTTTCTTCTTGAATTAAAGGAATTTTATAATTGAAATATGTATCACAATATGGTCGTTAGACAAGAGGGATTTAATTGGGTTTTAGTTGGAAAATATTTCGAAGATTAAAATTATTAAAATTTTGGAAATTAAGTCTGATGTAACTTCCACGGGCCCATGGAAGTTATGTCCGTAGAAGTTATGTCAGCTAGTAGCCAGCCAGTTACCTTCGGAATCGGGGGCCTTGTTATTTCTGAGGCAGCCTTTTTGCTATTCTCATCTCGCCTCGGTTAAGTGGAGGAACGTAAGCTTCGTCCCTATACATTGGTTCGGGTTATTCTTAATTAAGGGCGCCACCTGTGCCGCCATTCAAAAGCGTTGAAGAACTGTTCCTTCCTTCCTATATTATCAGATTTCCATCTTGATGTCTACAGGAACCAGTCCGATCTTGAAACCATTTTATTGTTGCCTTATTTTCTGATAACAAATACATATCAGTATATCCCCTCCCAATTGCTTTTCTTTACTAAGCTCTTCTTTGTAAGTGTGTGGGTAAGGAAGTGCTTGGTAGCTATTGAATTTAAAAATTTCATTATTTTTTTTTATTTTGCATTTCTCTTAATTACACCTTTCTCTTTTTGCTTTACGTTTATTATTTCCTTTTCCGTCACTTTCTCATTTCCACCTAAACGCCATTAACCATTTGTGCATAATTTTCTCAAGTTGCATTGTCGCATATTGTTGTGCCTTTCGCTATGTTTTCTCGTTTTCATTGTATTCCACAAGTAAAAGCTACCAGGCTACCAAAGGTATCACATGCAAATGCCACAACATTTTTTTTTTCAAATAAATTCCTTTTTGTTTTAATTCATCGCCCCACTTGAAATCTTAGCTCATTGCCTTTTTCTGCTATTGCGCACTTCTCCGTTTGCTGGTCATTTATTTAATGCTTCATTTGAATTCTTACTTGCGGTCTTGCTGCCATCTTTCTATTTGGCATTGCATTATCCAACTGCTTTGTAACTACAGCGCAATTATTTTTGTGTTGTTGCATTTGTAATTTATTGCCATAGCATAACTATTTGTCTCTACAGGAATGATTTCTTTGATTTAGTTTTACACGTGGCCATTTTTCCTTGTTTATTCTTGAAAAGTTCTAGAAAATTTATTTATGCTATCTAAGCGCCATGCTAGACAGCATGCACCGGATCGTGAGTATCCCTTATATCTTTTCGTGTTATTCATGATAGAATGCAAAGCCACTTTTCCGTTTATTAGGAAAATACAATTTTAAGTTATTATGTACTTAAACATTTCGTTTTCAGGGAAATTTGTTTTAAGTTTAGCAGAAATAGTAATGGAAGTGTAATTTGTATTCTTAGAGTGCTGCTACAACCTACGCGCAATTAAAATAACTGAACTACATATCTTGATATATAAGCCACTCAAGCACGATTGCATAAATTGCCAAAAGCCAAGTGGGACTAATAGATCCTTCAGGCCATTCAATTTATGTTATGAGCGCATACTTGAGTGTACAATCAGAGTGTCGCTAATTGAGACTGATTGCAAGCACAGTAGACTTGAAAGAAAGACTTGAAAGAATGGAAAATTATGTACATACTTATATTTTGTATTTATGATTCTAATAGGCGGAGGATTTATTAGGCAAAAATAAGTTTTCAAAAAGTACTTATAATTACGTACATAGGAAGAGTACGAAATTGTATTTCCGGGTTGTTAAAATTGTGTTAATTACAATTCAGAAGTAGTTCTATTCGATTAAAATTTACAAAAAAAACACTCTACTAAAAATATTTAAAATTTTCGGGATTAGTCATTGAGCGGTGCGCTCAGTGCCTGAAACAAGCGACCAAACTGTGATTTTTTTTTTAATATTCACAAATTATTTTTAATATTTTTCAAACTAGAAATTTTTATAAAAAATGTTTATAAATACCAGAGCTGTAAAAATTTTAATTATTTTATTTAGCAATCAATGATTGTGCTACCAATTTGATTCCATTAAAAATTGATTGCTTTTACTCTGATTGTAAGAATTGCAATCAATTTGATCAATTATAAAAATCACTGAATCGATCAAACATTTTTGTTGCTATTATGTTATATATTTGGTGGGTGGTGGGGCACAAGCCAACTCCTCTACTAGGTCTTTAATGACCGTGAGCCAGAGAAAGAGCGAGTGGACACAACCGCCGGGCATGCCCCTGTTTACCCTGCGCTTTACAGTTTCTGCTCGCTGTTTCTGCGGTGTATGGGCATAACAATGTCAGCTTTGACTCCCAGCTTGCTCAGGGATCTGATTAGTGCACCCTCTATAGTGAGAAGGGCGAGGCGACGTTTCTATTTCTCACAGCCAAAATATTAAAATCTCAATATAATCCTGAAATATGCTGGAGCAAAAGAGATATCAAGACTTGAGTATGGTCCTATAGCGAAATTCTTTTTGTTTCCTCTTACTGGCTTATATTTAGTATTTCTAAATGAACCATTTTAAACCCAAATTTTACGTGCTAATACGCAAAAGGCGAT